ATTTCCGGTCCTTGCACGTGTATTTCTAACCTTCCCAGTGTAGGAATGTCACTGAGATTACCACCCCCCCGCCCCCAACTTTCCAGCATCTGGGCTCTCGCGCCAGCTGTCTTGTCTCCTTATCAACCTGTCCTAGGGCACCTGGAAGTGTATGGGCAGTAAGAGAGAAACCCGGGATGAAAGGTGCACTGCCAGAAGCCATGCTATTGAAAATTCCCTTGATCAGCACTCTTTTAAAAGGGAAATCAATGGATTCGGTTCTCTTCAATGCCTTATCAAAGCTGGAATTTTTAAAAAATATTCCATCAACCATGCATTTTCCTTCTCCTCTATAGAAACTTGTGTTATAAAAAAATCTCCCCCCCAAAAATCCAGACCCCAGGCTTATCATGAGAAGAATATTAGTCAAATCCCAATAGAAGGACATTTTACAAAATCAAATGACCAGTCCTCAAAGCTGTTGAGGTCATCAAAAACAAGGAGTCTGAGAAATTGTCACAGCCTGGAGGAGCCTAAGGAGATGTGACGAGAAAATGTAATTTAGTCCCCTGGTGGGAACAGAAAGAACACATTAGGTAAAACAAAGAAAATCTGAACAAAGCATAAACTTCAGTTATAAAAATGTATCAATACTGGCTCATTCATTGCAACAAATGTTCTGTGCTAATGTGAGGTGTTAATGACAGCCGAGATTGGGCATGCAGTTTATGAAAACTGTAACTTTTCTGTAAATCTAAAACTGTTCTATAAATAAAGTTTACTAAAAATACCATGTAAAGAAGCAGTTAATGTATATGCAGCCAAAAATGTAGGGTGAAATACTTATTATAGAGGTAAGGAAAAAGAAGAAAATCTTTTTTTTTGTTTTTTTTTCTATTTATTTTCCTTAAATCTCAAATTAATCATTGCTTCCTTTAAGAATAAAATCTTTAGGTTATTGTTTTGAATTTTGTGGGATTTATGCCGTTATAAATTTTTTGTTACAAACTTTTTAAATTTGTATTTTACTGTACTTGTTTTCATTCTAAAACAATTCACATTTGTATCCAACATTGTAATTTTTTCTTATCCTCCCAAAGACATTTTTTCATTTGCTTTTTCAGAGAGAGAGAGAGAGGAAGGGAGAGAAGCATCACCTGGTGATTGGTTGCCTTTGTGTGCACCCGGACAGGGGATCCACGTGGGGACCAGGGATCACCCGTGGCAGGACCCAGCGTCACACGTGTCTGCGCCTGGACTGGAGATAACCTGCAACCTAGGCATGTGCCCTGACCAGGACTCAAACTCGCAACCTTTCAGGTACGGTATGATGCTCCAACCACTGAGCCACACTGGCCAGGGCTGTAATTTCCTAACAGAGGTCCCCTAAGTTGTGTGAACTTCAGACTCCACAAAACCTGGATCCACCCTTGGTTGCCATTGATTGCAGGTGAATAATTAGGATCAATGTGTCCAATTCAGCAAATGGGTGTCTATGGTGTGTAAATACTATGCTAGGGCTTGCAGAGGAGCCCGGGTATACGAAGGGTAGCAGGCGCTTACAGTTTCATGGGAGAGACAGGATCTGCCTAATGTAGCTGCAGCCCCAACACAGATTGAGTGAGAAACACCCAGCCACTGTTGCCAACCCTCTCACTAACCATCCATTTACCAGGGCCTGGAATTAAAAGCACATGGGTCATTAGAAATCGATGTGGCTGTATTTCAGAAGATGTGGAAGATGATTAATAATCAGTTGTGATTGGCAGTTGGCAATCACAAGTGGGAGCTTTCGAGACAAGGCCATTATCAACCTGCCCCTCAGCTTGTCCTGAGGACGACTTTGACTCTCGTTAGCTTCTCTAGAAGATCAGTAAATCAGTTTGAGGCAGGTGGAGATCTGTATCTAGCTAGGATTTGCTATAAAATTTTAATCAAGCCAAAAATGCAACGGGGGGTGAAAATAACTTGAAAAGAGACTCTAACTTCCATTAGGAAATTTGCTCCATTACAGCCTCACATTGGCTCTTGTTTACTTGTCTGAAGAGATCCTTGGAAAAAAGAAAGTGGGAAAGAGGTTAAACACTCCTACTTCTCCCCAAGTTCCAAAATGAAATCCCCAGCTATGGGTCTGGAATGGCTGTTTAATGAGAAAACTGAGGCCATGGTCTGGCGGTCCTTGCAACACTTTTCTGTGTTAGGTTATTATTACAGGAGTGATACTATTATTATTACAGTAATAAGACTGTTGTTCCTGCCTTACAGAAGATGAAATGGGGTCTGATGCAGAGAAGGCCAACTCCCGAGCCCTGTGCAGCAACGCCGCCCAATATAGCCTCTGCCTGACGGTCGCAGTACAGCCGATAAACTGAAACTTTTTGAAATGATCAGGGAGAAAAATTGTTTTTAAGTGTTAGCGTTGAAAGAGACCTGAGAAAATATTTAGTCCGTCCCCTTTGTCTTCAGAAGAGACACCCGAGAGCCTGGAGGATGAAGTTGTTTCCCAGTGTCTCAATGCCTCTGCCAGAGGGGATGGAATCCAGCTGCAATCCCTGGGCCGGGCCTTTCCCCGCTCCCAGCGGTAGGTCACCTGTGCCCCAGGGCTAGAACCCAGGGAGTGTTGGGAGATGGGGAGGGATAAGGGGAGAGAGCCAGTGACAACTGTCACGTATTGTGGGTTGAATTGTGCCCCCCTCCCATCCAAATTTATATGTTGAGGTCGTAAGCCCCAGTACCTCAGAATGTGTTGGAGATAAGAGTCATTACAGGGGAATTAAAGAAAAGAGGTCGTTAGGGTGAACGCAAATACAACATGACTGGTGTCCATATAAGGTGAAATTTGAACACAGACGCATACGGTGGGAAAACCACATAGGGAGACATTAGGGAAAAGGTGGCCATTCCCAAGCCAAAAAGAAAGGCCTGAAGCTGATTCTTCCCCCACAGCCTTTCGAAGGAACCAACACTGCTTATGTCTTGATTTTAAACGTCTGGACTCTGGAACAGTGAGACAATACATTTCTGTCGTTTAAGCCACCCAGGTTGTGGTATTTTGTTCCGGCAGCCCCAGCAAAATAACCACCACCAAACTTGGGAAGTGCCTGAGGGGGCACCGAGGCTGACGGACTGGCTGGAGGAGAGGAAAAAGCAGAAGCCAACATGACAACGTCATGGGCGGGCGGAACAAGACCTGGGCAGAGAAACCAAGGGTTAGCCCAGCGTAAACCAATAAAAACGAAAGCGGAGTCTGTTTCTCCCTTTAGACGAGGAGTCTAGATCTAGAGGATCTGGATTTAGAAGGGGATCTGAGGGAACTGAGCTGTCACAGAGGCCGCCTGAGTGTGCACTTGCTGCCAGCCTCCCTGTGCCGGGGAGCCAGCACCCTGTGGGGGGTGGGGGAGGATCCCTGGTGCCAAGTGCAGATGTTCTGGAAAAGGGAGAAAAGCCCAGGGAGAGGCCTCAGGGTATTGCTGGGTGGCACCAGCGTGAGTTTGCTTCTTGGAGTGAGCTCAGCCACCCCTCCCTAGCAGCGGGGCACCTCACTAGCCGAGGATGAGACCTCTGGGGCTGGGGCGGCCCTCCGGTAAAGTGGCCCGGTGCTGGCAGGCGCACCCCCTGCACACTCCACAGCATCTCCAGATGACTGCCAGTGCCCAACGCCGCGCCAGTGCTATGTAAACAGTTACTCTGTTCTGTATTATGTAGGGGATAACGACATGAGAGAGTCTTCCGTGCAGTGCAGGTTCACTTGTTTCAGGCCTAACTACACCGCGCACGCCAGCAACAACCTAACACTTTTTTTTTTCCTGAGTATTTTTCATCTGTCCCTGCCTGGGTCTGCTCAGCCGCCTCTCCCAAGCCGCCGTGCAATGAATGCATCCCCGGGGTTCGGAGCTGCCTGCTCTGCTGCCTGCCTTCCAGCCCTGGGCCTGCGGCCCCAGCCTTCAGCCTACCTGTGCCTCAGTGTTCTCACCTGTAAAAAGGGGATGACAACAGCGCGCGTCTCGCCAGGGAGTGATAACTCAGGAAGATAATGTGCGTGAAGGGTTGCAATAAACGGCATCTCTCATTACCAGAGGCGTTTATTACAACAAGAACTCTTTCTCCCCAGGACTCAGTGCAAAGCAGCCCCGGGTAACAGCAGCCCTCCACCGACGCTGGGCGGGGGCCCCGCTCCAGCTGGGACCGCCGTTACCGGAGGGTAAATAGAGGCCTCGGGGGCAAAAAGAGGGACCAGCACATTTGGGATACGGGCCTCCTGAAACTAAACTGCATTGGCCTCTGAAACCCCCACGCGGGTATCGCCGGGACGCAGAACCGCTGAAACCCACCCGCACTGGGCGAGCGGGGTGGGGGGGCCGCAGGAGCTCGGCGACCAGCGCGGCGCTTGGGCCACGGCGAGGCTGCCCCGCGCTCTGACTATCCCCGGCTGCCCTGCCCGGGGTTGCTTCAGGTCCCGGGCATTGCAGAAGTCTGGGCCGGTCTTGGCGCAGATGGGCTGTGGCAACATCCCACGTAGGGGACGTGGTGAAACCGGGTTAAAAGGAGTCGCTCACGTCGGTGCCAAAGAAAACCGGAGATGAAAGCTCTCGTGCCTCCAGGGCCCCTTCTGCAGAAGCCCCTGCCGGCCGAGAAGTCAGGAGGGCACGTGGCGGCGCGGGAAGCTGCGCAAGGGCGTCCCCCGGCCCCCGCCGGCCCCACGGTTGGAGGGGCTCCTGGGTTCAGGCACCTCGGTTTGTCCTTTGCCCGTCCTCAGATTCGTTATGAAATCACAGGCGCGCTCGGGAGACGTTGGGCGCTTTCGCTCGCGATCCCCCCATCCCGACCGCGGGCAGCACGCGGACTGCCGGCGCTCCACGCGTGCGCCTGGACGGGAGGGCGGGCGCGCGGCGGGGGCGGGGCCTGAGTGGGCGCGCGGCAGGGGCGGGGCCTGGGGCCCGGGGCGGGGCGGGAGCGGCACGCGCACTAGCGGAGGCTGGGGCGCCGCCACAGCGCAGAGGTGACGGCGGCGCCTTTAAATAGCATCCGGAGCAGGCTCGGGGCAGGCAGTGGTCTGCGGTGACAGCCGGCGACGTAGCAGCCGGGCCGGTCGAGGAGGTGAGTGCCCCAGCTGTCAGGACCCGCGAGCGTCCGTGCTGCGGCGCCCGTGGGCTCCGCGGAGGTCCCGGGCTGACGCTGCCCCGCCGGCCCGAGCTCGAGAGCAGTGGGGAGGCGCGTGAGCCGCCGCTCGGTTGGCCGGAACGTTCCGCTTTTCCGGCCTCTGCCCTGAGGCTGCCCAGCCCGCGGCCGCGGAGGCCTCCGTGCCTCCGGAGCCGCCGCCGCCGCCGCCTCATGAGCCTTAGCCGCGGGTGTCCGCGCTGGTTCACTGCGGGATCCAGGTGACGTGCGCCGCGGGTCCGGCTCCTCGTTTGTGGGGCGGCGGGGACCGGCCCGGCCTGCATGAGCCCGAGTTCACACGCGAGGAGATGAGCCGGAGAGGCCGGCCCCGGTGGGCCCTCGGCCGCGAGCATCCCTCCGCGCCCGTGGCCGGGCTTTCGGGGCGCCCCCGAACCGCGCTCCTGCCTCGGCTGGACGCCGGCCGCTGCGCGGAGCGCTTGCGGGAGGGTCAGAGGCGGCACCCGAAGCCGGTGGCCATATGTAGAGCCCTCGCGGCGTCGCCGGAGGACCACCGGCCGCCTCTGCGGGAGCCGCGCTGGAGTCCTTGATTTACGGAGCCTGGCGTGTTTTTTTTCAGATTAACAAGTAGGGCGAGATCTGTTACAGCGTGGACGGAGGGTGCCGGCGGATGACTTGAGCGGACAGTGTCCCAGAACCCAGAGGCAGGTGCCCCGGGTGGTCGGCGTGATTGCAAACCCCCTCCCCGCCCCGCTCACGGTCAAGGTTATGGCGCGTCATTAAGACTATTATACAGGTGCCCTCTGTCTTTTACGGTCGAGACTTTTAAGCTGCTTGTGGGTGCAGGACCATCCCGAGTGCCTCCGCTGTCAACACCCTTCCTTTTATTTACCGACTTTCGTGGGGCCTGAGAGAAGCTGGTTCAATCTCACCGTTTCTGACACAGATTTCACCTGTATTACCCCAATGTATACAATTGTTTCTAAACACAAACAAAACCAGTCGAAAACTTCTGGCTGTGCATTTTCACGAAGAGGTGCCTGTTGGGTTGGCTTAAAGCTTGAGACTGGAGCTGACGGTCTGCGTGGGGTGCGCTTGAGACGGTGGAACTTTTACAGGCACCCTGGCTGGCCCTTCTGTCTTCCTTTGACTCAACTGGGAGAATCCCTTCCCAGCCTGAAACTTGACTCCTCATTTGTGAAGAGGCTGCTTGAGACTAAAGTCTTTCAGGAGCTAAAATTCTCGGTTAGAAAAAAAAAAAAAATCCCTAAAAGTGGCACATCTGACACCTCCTTCTCCCCCTTAAAATAATATAGACATAGACCATAAACAATGGACCTCTATTTTCTACATTTACTGTAAATAGAAAAGACTTTTTTTAAGATAAGAAAATTGCCCTTCCCCCAACAATTATAAGTATTTTGATATATTTTCTTCCTATCCCTAGTATGTATTTATTATTATTATTATTATTATTAGCAGCCTGACTAAAGAGAAATCCCTGGGCTTTTTAATTTTTGGCATTTGAGAGACAGAGAGCTGTGATAAGTGCTGGCACAGGCTGGGACAGGCATGTCTTTTTTTATACCACACAGGTAGGGTTTTCATAGCTACGCCTGCTTCGGGGTGAAGTTCGGGATAACTGGAAGTGCACCAGCCGGCCCCAGCATCTGCTTAAAGGCCAGGTCTCACTACACCTTTCCTTTCGGTGTTGCCATCTTGTGGGAAATGGTTGTATGCTTAGGGAGGGGCTGGGGAAAGGTCAAGTTGCCTTGTCATTACAGCTAGGAATTTCTTCTCCCTCTAAGTTTTGCTTTTCTGAAAAGAGCAAGACTATAGGAATTGTAGTAATTTCCAGACATTGATACTCAGTAACCTTAGAGAGATGAGTAGTTTTGCCACTTAAAACATAGGTCCATTATTCTTTCACATTCACTGTCTCTTACCACCAAATTATATACAGTTAGAATTTGTTAATAATGTTTTATGGAAGGTCTTGTTTGGATGGTGCTGTCAATTAGATGACTGTGTTACAAAGTACAAAACAATGTGGTTTTGTTGTTTTTTTTTTAAGGCAGCTCAAAACTGTTGGTACCCTAAGGCCCCTTTCCTGCCTTACTCCAAGGCTGCGATTAGTCAGGTGGCAGACTGAAATGCCAGGGTTTTTATCGAACAGCATAGTCCCACTGGTGGTCAGACCGGCAGGGAAGAGTCACGTTGACACTCACGCCTGGAGGCTAAGTCTCAGTGACCAGAGCTGATGTGGAGCTGCCAGTAGTTGAATTTGAGTTTCAACATTCTAGTACGTACAGGGGGTTCTGAGAGCTTTTATAGAAATACAAGCCCTGAAGTGGTAACTGGACTTCATGAACCAGAAGTAGAGGGAATTTTATCAGTGTTTGCGGCTGCAGCTCCGAGGTTGTCGTGTCTGCAGCTCCTCACCTAGGCCGTGGGCTGCCAACTCATAAGACATTCTAGTTTGTGTCAGCCCGAGGTGATGTGTCTGTTGAAACAATTGTCCGTACCATAGTGACAAGAGAAAACAAATACATAATCTGAGTTATGGTCGTTTTTCTGCTTTTTTACATCCTGATATTTAGAAGTCGTTGAGTGTGTTGGAGCTGGCACCGTATTCCGTTGTAACCTTTGCAGAGTCTGTAGGAGAGGAGGAAGTACGATGGAGCCTTCCTTGAAATGTGGCTGGCGTGCAGGGGTGACACATTGATGGGACAGAGGCCGAGGTGGAGGGGAGGCCTCCGTCCTCCTGCCTCTGAAGAAGGCACTTGGCAGAGGCACATGCCTTACCCCCGAAATCCAGGATTTCCACTTGTGGGGCTCGGTGTAGGTGCCCAGGCCCGCTCTCCTCAGGAGTTAGTTGCCAGTCTTCCAGTGTTAAATACACATTCGAAAGCTCTCAGTTTTCTAAATCAAAACCATTTGTCTCATGAAAGTGACATGTAATTTTATATTACATACATTTTATATTGTTATAAGAATCTATGCTTATTCTAGAAAATTTGGGAACTATAAAAAATATAGGTCTTAAAGAGATTCAGTACTATTAACATTTTTGTGTATTTCCTTTTTGTTTCTCTAAACAATTTTTTAAAAAAATTTAAGCATATTTTTTTTCATTGAAGATAAAAATTTTATAATTTAATTTTAATCATCTATATTGTGAACATTTTTTCCATGTTTTAATATGTCTTTCAAAAATTGGGGCATGTTCTGCTTTAAAGCTGTTAGAACTGACAATGATTTCAAAATTTTTTTTTTATTTTTTTTCCTCGGAAATTATTTTTTGAATGAATGGTTTTAATGTATTTTTGGGTTCATGTGTTCTGGTCGAAAGCTGTTAAAATAAAGATTCCACCGTTTGGGAAGATAAGTAGAGAGAAGTGAGGGCATCGATGGAGGAACTGCGAAAGCCTTTCCTACCACTTGCTCACACTGGGAGCGACCTCTGGTGCGGTATTGTCTGTCCATTAGCACAGCCGGGCACTTTAGCCTCAGGTTTGTTGAGGGAGAGATGTCCCTAGTACATAAGGTCAAAATACCCCAAATGATTCATCCTTTTATTAACCAGGAAGGGGAAGTTGGTATAGGAACTAGTTTGTCCCTCAAGGCTCAGCTTTCACCTGCAAAGCAAGGTGTTGTCAGCTGACTGACAGGGTGGCCACAGGCTGAGCATGGGCAGCGCAGGACATGAGAGGTGACGATATCAGCAGACAGTGCCTCTGATGTGGCCGCTCGGGGAACCTTCCCAGCAACCCCACAGCGGGGAGCCTGCTATTGTCCTTAGTAGATAGGAGCCCAGGGGCAGAGGTTAAGTTGCCCAGCCAGGGCGGGAGCCACGGGCAGTCTAGCTGCAGGGCCAGAGCTCCTAACTGCTTGGCCGTTCCAGGTTAGCCAGCCGTTGGCAAGAGTGAGGACAGAGCTGGTTCTTCCTCTGCGGGGCCATCGTTCCTTGATTTTTGCCTTTCTCATTTGCACGCTGTCTTAGACTACCAGAGTGCTGAAAACGACAACGCATTTTGATTCAGCTTGGTTCGGTGAGTGATAAGATCAGCTGCTACACGGCTATGCCTTTCCAAAGGATTAAATAAAGAGCTGAAGGCTTTGCCTGCCCTGGAAGTTGGTCCTGTAAGTCTGGTGAACAGTCAAGGCTTAACGATTAACACATTATGTACAGAAGTAAGAGCGCGCGTCGAGTGGGGACAGGGACCCAGGCTCAGCAGGGATGGTGGAGCGTCACCCACTTCAGCAGGAGGTCGACCTCCCCATGGCACACAGGTCTGCTTTCTGCTGCACACCTGAGGGTGTTTGACCAGAACTGACCTCCTCGACAAGTTCTAAACCGTGCGGAAGGCTCACAATAGACAAGAGAACAGGATGGAGAGCTTCCGGGGTTTGAAGGCACAGTGGTGTCGCCTACTGGTCTTGGCCTCTTTTTCCCAGTACAATTTTAGGCAGAACCCCAGTGTATAAAAATCAACAAAAGTAGGGCCGCGATTTTTGAAAGGCAGGGCGGAGGGGGCGAGGGGCTGGGAATCCCACGTCACGCAGACACGGAGGCTCCTCGGAAGAGCCCCAGGCTCCCCAGCACTGAGACCGCCTCACCCATGCCCTCTGCGGGCACAGGCCCTGGTGCCAGAGAGGGGGAGCCCTCAGCCGCCTTCCGCAGCCGGTGCCCCCTCAGGCCGTGACCCACAGTGGGGTTCGCCCCCGAGCCCTGTGTCGGGGGAACAGCGGGACCTTGATTTTGTCTTTGATCCGTGCCCTGAAACCCTCTCAGTCAGCCGGTTCTGGTCATTCTAACTTACTCTCCATACGTATTGCCCAGCGCACACCCTCTTTCCCCTTCTCTTCTCAGTGTCCCCGACCTAGTCCAGAGTCTGTCAGCTCTGGTGTAGGCAGCAGAGGCCCTCAATTTTAAAAAGAGGGGGAGGATGAGGACTTTTCCTAATGCAGAGCTCTGATCA